TCTCTCTTCTCTCTTCTCTCTTCTCTCTTCTCTCTTCTCTCTTCTCTCTTCTCTCTTCTCTCTTCTCTCGCAAGAGCTCCCCCACTCTCTCTGTCACCTTCTCTCTGTGTCTCTTTATCTGCCTATCTATCTCTAGCGTAGTGTAGTTGTAGTCGTAGTTGTAGTTGAAATGTAGTCATGGTGGTACTGGCAACTGAGCGGTTGCCGAAGCCCCGATACTTTGTGTTCTATTTTGTCTTCCCTTTCGCCATCCCTTTCGCGAACCTTTCGCGATGTGGCGTTTTTCTTTCGCGGCATCCGTGTGTCTGAAATTCACTTTCGCGACCTTTCGCGGAAAATCCTGACAAGAATCCCCTGTGTTCCCTGGCAAACACATACTGAAACATTTGTTCCCCACCTGCCATGTGAGCGTCTCTAAATTTTATCAGACTGCATGCCGCGCATCGCCTCTTCCTCCTCCTCCTCCTCCTTGATCCTCGTCCTCCACTCCGCCCTCAACCACGAGCTCCAGATCTCAGTGGGCACTGCCGGGCCCCAACCGCGAGCGCCAGATTTCAGTGGGCACTGGACGGACCCCAACTGCGACCGCCAGATCTGAGTGGGCACAGCCAGACACTGCGAGCGCCAGATCTCAGTGGGCACTGCCACTCCCCTATCGAATGGGGGGCCGTCCCAGCTAGTCAGGGCTTTCGCGGATCTTTCGTGGAGCTTTCGCGAAGCTTTCTCGGATTTTCGGGTCACATCTATAGAAATTTGTGAATAATGTATTCGTATGGATCCTGAGGAAGCTGTACGTCTATAAACATATACTTAAAACCAGGATTCTGAGAACCAGGATTTTGAGCCTTGAGAGTCTCTTTCGCGAGCTTTCGCGGAAGCAAATCTTCGCAAAAGCTTTCGTGAATCTTTCGCGGGCGTGGTTTTACCTTTCGCGGAGCCATCTTACTTTAACAGCCCTTTAAATCTCCACATGGGGGTTTTGGCGGCATTGAAGTTGTAGCTGTAGTGGTACTTTAATGTAGTTGTAGTTGTAATTGTGGTTCTAGTTGTAGTTGCAGTTCTAATTGGAGTTGTAGTTGCGTGCATTATTTCGACATCGCAACCTCCAAAAGTGGTCCGAGACCGCCAGTCTGTAACACTTTTGACTTCCAACCGTGCTTCGCGCCACAGCGGCGTGCACTTTTTCGACATCTCAACTTCCAAAAGCGGTCTGAGACGGTCAGTTTTTAACACTTTGGTTTCGACATGTGCTTCGCGCCACAACGGCGTGCGCCTTCCAAAAGTTGTCCGACAATGGTGTGTTTAGCACATTCTCACTTCAAAATGCGCTTCGCGCCACAGCAGCATGCAATTTTTCATCTTTCATCCCGCCAGGTGGCTTTGCACCCACCGCTTGAGCGAGCCTACTTTTCGACTCTCCAGAGCCCCAAAACATTGAAAAAACACAGTGTTTCGCGACTTTTCTACCTTTTCGCGCGCCTGCATCTTCTTCCTTTCTCTTCTCTGCCTCTTCCCTGCTCTGCTTTTCATCTGTCCATATTGTCGGAAGTTTGACTTCTAAACTTCCTTCGGGTCCTTCGGCTATATAGTATAAAATCTACAATAAGATCTACAAGTCCGTACTTTCTGCTCGAGTGCCAGCTCACAACTGCAACTGCAAAGCCAAGTCACCGTTGCACGCAATCTGTCGCTCGTGCTCAAACACCATCTCACGGGTCACATCCACGTATGGCTTCTTTCGTTCCTGAAGATAGAGAGGATGCTTTGATATATTGACACACACTGGTATCATAAATTAGGTATCCAAACAAAATGGATGGTTAATGGCCAACATCTGCAGTCCCCACAGTCTCAAATTTGGACCCATACCCATATCTATTCTATCTCTATCTCTGTTTCACTTTTCCATTGTTTCTCCCAGGTATCCTGAAGTAATCTCACATCAAAAAATCATGCGATGCCCTGCTTTAGGAACCATAATGAGCCGCTCTTGGCAATAGAAGGAATTCATGGGAGGGTCGAAAACGGAAACCACAGAACAATGGCGAAACCATGGCTGTGCACGGCTCGTACCACTCTCCACCATGCTCCACCATGCTCCGCCATGCCCTGCCTCGAACCTGGCCATGATGTCAGACAGACCTATCTTCTCCATCCTGGCTCACAAAATTGTTCAACCCGTGTAAGTTAAACAAAAAGGGATCCAAACTGATCAAAAAATGGTGCGCGAATGTCAGCAACGGCAACGGATGTGAGCAAGCTTCTGTACTGCAGCAAGCACATTTCTCAAAGGTATGCCCAATGCAAGTTCTACACAAGTCTGACGTAGGATCGTAATGATGACTCTGCTCATGAGTGTGTTGACGACTGTGTGTTGAGATTCTGGAATCAGTGTGAGATCGTGAAATCGGAGTGCAGAGTTGCGCCTGTAGTCTGTCCCCTGTGCTAAGATTGCCTGGTAGATTCCAGGCACGACCTGCCGTTAAGAAGATAGGCTACAACTGGAACAGGTTGTGTCAAAATTGGATACGATCTTGGACACTCGTTTTCACCCGATCTCAGTCGAGTACAGAACATTTTGTACAAAGTCAACCAATTGTTTGGCTGGTTGCAGCATTGAGATGAGGCTTGCAAACTCCTTGGGTTTTCTACTGGCAAGTCGAAGATGGGTCCTATTGAGCTGACTCTATCACAAAGATTCACAAAGCATGCAACGCCAACTAATGCCAAGCTGTCATGCGTTCGCTCGATCTGCAAACCTCGAATATGCCTTTCAGCCCTGGCTACTGGCAGCTATCTTGCGACGTGAAAACAATATTACAACATATTATAAGAGTGAGAGTCTACGCCCCAAATGGTCTTGCGTAAATTGTCATGAGGATACCGCCACAAATAGGAAAAACACATATCTGTGGGTATCTTAGATATAATATAATGTACACCTGTGATGGAACTGAGCAGGTAGCCCCTGACATGCTATCAAAAACAATCCACGGGTTGGGGCCAAGGAAATGGGTTCTGAGATGCCAACCCCAGCGCGGTTGAAGATACTGTCAGCCACAAGGACAGCTTGCCGGTTGGACATGTTCATCATGCACCTGCCATCCAAGTCCGATGGCAGCAAAACACAACTGACATTGGCCGCATAGGCAGCGGCTGGAGTCGTACGCCAAGCATCAAGCAGAATGAGAGGTCAATTCCCCACATCACTACGTGGGATTCTAATTTTTGCTGGCAATCCGCTCCCGTCCGCCTCCTGCCGTCCCGCCGTCATCATCAACTTCTTCTCTTCAACTTGTTTGTATCACCACTTCTCCCTATCAACTTGTCTATCACTTCTCTGTCTCAAATCTTCTTTATCACCACTTCTCTGTCTTTATCCGCGGCAGTGTCGCATGGCAGGCGCAGCACTTGGTGACTGGCGAACCGTGTCTGAACCAGTCTGAACCGTGTCTGAACCTTTCTGAGCCGTGTCTGAAACCGTTTCTGAACCGTGTCTGAACTGGTCTGAAGCAAGTCAGTGTGTAAAAGTGTCTGTGTGTAAAAAGGTTTCTTTGTAAAATCTGCCGTGTAAAAGCTTCTCTGTGTAAAGGCTTCCCTGTGTAAATGCTGGTGTGTGTAAAAGCGTCCTTTTGTAAAAGCTGGTCTGTGTAAAAGCGTCTGTGTGTAAAGCGCCTTTGCGTGAAAGGTGCTCTGTGTAAGGGCTTCCCTGCGTAAAAGCTTCTGTGTGTAAAAACTGCTCTGTGTAAGGCTTCTCTGTGTAAAAACTTCTGTGTATAAAAGGCTTCTGTGCAAAAGCTGCCCTGTGTAAAAGCGTCTGTGTAAAGAATTCTCATTGTAAATACTTCTGTGTGTACAAGCTGCTCTGTGCAAAGGCTTTCCTGTGTAAAAGCTTCTGTGTAAAAGTGTCTGTGTGAAAGAAAGCGTCTGTGTGAAAGAAAGCGTCTGTGTGTAAAGGCAGCTGAGTGTAAAAGCTTCTGTGTGTAAAAGCTGCTCTGTGTAAAAATTGCTCTGTGTAAAAGCGTCTGTGTGCAAAAGCTGCCCTGTGTAAAAGCTTCTGCGTGTAAAGGCTTCTCCGTGTAAATGCTTTTGTGTGTAAAAGCTGCTCTGTGTAAAAGCTTCTCTGTGTAAAAGCTTCTGTGTGTAAAAGGTGCTCTGTGTAAAGGCTTGCCTGTGTAAAGGCTGTCTGTCTGTCTGTCTGTCTGTCTGTCTGTCCATCTATCTCTTCTCCATCCAATCATTATCTGCTCCCACCATCCCAAGTCATCACCTTCGTCTCATAACAATCGGAAGGCTTAACATGTGGGGTTATCTGGTCCTTTAATTTTCAAGTAGAATTTTGGGACGAATGGGATGAGGACGAGGCCGACCAGGGCGAATCATCTGAAATCACTGCTGTGTTCTATTTCCGCCCTTCCATGAAATTCAGCGAATTCTTAGTCGCTTCCTGGATATACATTTTCTATCTGACATACACACGTTTGTTCTTTGGCGTCTTGCGACGTCTTATTTTGTACAGGGTGTTGGTTTGGAGACATCACCATGAAACATAGACCAAACCTAAAACACGACCCAAAAGGACAATCTTTCACCAATGGAGAGCATGAATTTACACAGAGCGGAAGAGAGAAATCTAATCCAAGCCTGTATTTGTATAACTGTATAACTCTTTAGAATGCAACCGCTTTGCACGGCCACTGCCATTGCCATTTGCACCTCTGCAAGACTTGACTCACCAATAGGCGGATGCCCATCAAATCGATGCAGTTGCGCCGCGACGAATATTTCACAAATTCGGTTCCCACCTCGATGCGAATCCGAGCTGGGCATTGCTGTATATGTCGGCTATGTGTTATTGTGCCTGCACTTGTGCTTTGGCAAAGGAATGATGTTCTATACTTTGGTCACGTAATAATCCTTTTAATACTTGTATTTTTTTTATACTTTGTATAATCTTTATATCAGGCCGTATATAATATATATATATATAATCGTCATATCACGGTGCCACCATGCATCTCTGTTTGCACTGTCATGGTTTGTCTGCCCGTTGCGCAGGTACAGCAGGTGCAGCAGGTTCAGTTGCGATAGTTGCGGGTGTGAGTGTGCCAAATATATCAAAGGAGCGGTCACAGGAGCGCACTGAAGATTTGAAGTCAAAAACAATGGTAAAAGGATCACTTTAGAACACGATCTGAGACATCATTTCAGAACACAGCCGTAAAACACGAGATCAGATTTACTGACAGGCGCAGCACTTTGAAGGGTCACGCGTTCTAAAGCGATGTCTGTACCAAAAAAAAAATGCCAATGAGAATTTTACGCATCACATCATGTATTCCACTGCAATGGCTCTCACTATTCACTGACCTTGAAATTCACTATGCTCAACGACCTAGCCATTTAGGGTTTATTTGGGGGGAGGGGATGGGTTTCAGAACCATTGTAAAAGAAGAAGAAAAATAAAAAGAAGAAAGAGAAAAAGAAGGGGGAGGAGAAGAAGGAGAATATGATGCTGATGATGATGACGATGACGATGACGATGATGATGATGATGATGATGATGATGATGATGATGATGATGATGATGATGGCGCTGACGACGATGATGACGACGATGATAATGATTATGATAATGATGCTGATGCTTTTGCTGACGATGATGACAATGACGATGACGATGACGACGATGAGGATGATGATGATGATGATGATTTTGATTTTCGGCGCGTTCTAAAGTGATCATTTCTCCGCTGCTGCTGGAGACTGAAAATAACCTGAAGGTATTGCGAACCAATGGTCCAGCAAAAAATGCCAACCCATCTGCCCTGGAAGTCCCAGAAAGTCCGAACTCTATCCATCCTTGGGGCCACCACTTCGAGATCGAGGACAGAGGACTGCTTGCCCCAAACCTCAAAATAAAAAATCACAAAATGCACGAAACATGCATACCAAAATCGGGACGGAGAAACCCATCACCTTGAATGTAGCTCTAATATGCTCTAAGGTTGTTGACATAAGGTCAACCTCCACTCAAAATCCTGGGACTGAAGTCGCTGCACGCAAATTGGGTCAAGGTTTGGCTGCACTACAGGCAATTTGCTCTCTGGGCGAGGTAGTTCAGTTCCTCCACCATTCTGGAACAGCACCATGATTGGCAGCACACTTCCCTGGCAACCTTGCCTTGATTACTTTTCCCTTGCCCGAGGTCCACACATCGTTCCATGCCCAGTGCCCACTGACCTGCGAAAATACAAAAGGAACCGGAAGAAAGCGGAAGGCAATTGGAAGGCAACTGGCTGTAGGTTTTCACATGTTGTCCCTTTCACAGGAGTGGGCACTGGCACATCACTGGTGCACTCAGATGAACTGCTGAATACCCCAAGGCATTCTTCTGTTGGGGAAACATAGGGACAAAGACAAGGACTCGACAAGAACAAGAACAACGACAGCAACTGAATTCTTAGTCATAACAGAAAAGACCAGAGAAAAAGAAGAGAAACGTCAAGGGGAGAACACGGAGAAGGAAGAAAAGGCCGGAAGAACAAATAAGAAGGGTGTAGCACACACACACACACATCAGAAACATGGCAAGTAACAACACAACCACCGTCACCATTTCTACGTATTACAGAATGATGATCACAATCATCGGCATCATCCTCGTCATCAGCATCACCCTCATCACAATCCTCATCCTCATGATCCTCGTCGTCATTACCGTCATCATCATTGTCATCATCATCATGGTCGTCGTCGTCGTCATATCTCGCCAACCAACAGCACATGGCAGCAGCAGCAGCAGCAACAACAACAACAACGACGACAACGACAACGAGAACCAGAGCGACAACGAGAACGACAACCACAATAACGACAACCACAACCACAGGAGCAAGGACAGTAGCAACGGCAGCAACCACCACGTCAGTACTAGCAGTAAGTTGCAATGCCACAGTAGAATTGCTTGTTAAAATCTAGAGGCCCTCGGTGGCCAGGGGTGAGGGATCAAAAAAATATATTTAAGGCATCAAAAACAAATATTCCCCTGGAATCCCTTGTTTTCTATGGCCCTTGCAACACTTTGGAGACAAAACCGAGCATTTCTGTGGTATTTGCATCGTTTTGGAAGTGGAGCCTCTCGCCCGTAAGATTTTTGCAGGACATTGAACCTAGAAATCGAGCATTCACAGGGCTCGACGCTGCTGTTTCGACAGCACCTGCAACACTTTGGAATTCAAATTTTTGATTTTTGATGGTTGCTTTGAAACTTACGTTCGTTTAAAGTTTGTTTATGTTTGGTTTGGGGTTGATTTAGGCTTGGTTTGATGCCTATTACGTTGACTTAGGTTGGTTCAGGGTTAGTTTAGGGTTGGCCTATGGTGTACTAGGTGTCTATTCAGGGTTGGTAAAAGGTTTATTTAGGTGGTTAGTTTAGGGTTGGCCTATGGTGTACTAGGTGTCTATTCAGGGTTGGTAAAAGGTTTATTTAGGTTTCGTTCAAATATTATCCAATGTCTAAGGTTATTTAAAGTTTTTTGGTGTTTATGTAGGGTTGGTTTAGGGATTATTTTGATTTCGTTCAAGACTTTGTGGCTTAGGTTTCGTTTGGGATCTATTGAGGGTTGGTCGTTTGTTTATTTAGGGTTGGTTTAGGATTTGTTTAAGGTATACTTGAGGTTGGTTTTAGGGTTTGTTTAGGGTTGGTATTAAGATTTGTGTATGTGCTGCTCAAAGTTTATTTAGGGTTGATTCAGGATGTATTTGGGATTGGTTCGTGGTTGGTTTAGGTGTTTTTTTTGTTGGTTCAGGGTTTATGTAGGGTTGGCTTAGGGGTTATTTTGGATTGGTTTAAAGTCTATGTAGGTCTTGTTTACGGTGTCTTTAAGGTTGGTTTGGTTTACAAGTAGGATTTATGTAGGATTGGTTTGTGGTTTATTTGGGTTTGCTTAGGAAAAAATAGGGATTTAACAAGTGTTCTTTAGGGTTGGTTTATTTAAGATGGGCTAGGGTTTATTTGGCGTTGGTTTAGGGATTATTTGCGATTCGTTTAAAGTTCATTTTGGTTTCGCTTACAACTTATTCAAGGTTCGTTTAGGTTTCGTATAGGGTTTATGTAAGATTTGTTTAGGGTTTATTTAGGGTTACTTTAGGGCTGATTGAGGGTTGGTTTAGGATTCGTTTAAGACTTACTTTGGCTTGGGGGTGGTTTAGGGGTTATTGAGGCTGATTCAGTTTTTTTTTAACGACTGGTTGAATTAAGGATTATCTTCAAATTGTCTTAAGGCACTAGAGTCACCAAACAACGGAAGGACCAAGAGACCAGAAGGCCAGAGGACCAAGGGACCGGAGGACCAAGGGACCCGAGGACCGACCAGAGGACCAAAGGACCAAGGGACCAGAGGACCAAGGGAGAGGACTGAAGGACCGGGAGATTTAAAGACCGCAAGATTTGAAAATGGCATAAAAGGGCCAAAACACTGCACCAGCGCAGGCAAAATGAATAGTTTTTTTGATCTTTATATAAATATTGTTTTATTGATGCCTTAAATATTTATTTTTTGCTGCCTTAAATATTTTTTTGAACCCCATGCCGCAAAAAATGCCGTCCTTTCCTTTCATGAAACATGAAAAAACGGATGAATATTTCGAAAACTTGTGAAACGCGTCAATTCCAACCATCTCACCGAATCTAACCGTCGGCACTCACCGTCGGCCTTCTTGTCTGTGGACAAAGGCACCCAGCCCTGGTCTTTGCCATGCTGCACCCAATGACCCAGCGTGGCACCGCCGCCAGCCCTCAGTGAACCATGACGTCCACTTTCAAACTTCCAACGAAAGAGACCCACGATGAACCAATATGACTTCAAGAATAGGTCCCAGAAATTACAAACATCGCCAGCGCATCGCGAGCACATCGCGGCAGAAAGCTCTTTCCAAACGTGCCAATTTGATTCATTCTGTCCCAAACAAAAGCGCGTCTGGATTACCCACCAACTCCTCCTGAAAACGATTAGAAACAAAACATCTGGTCCAACAAGGATCCAAAATGATAAATCCGTTGCTAATGTTTGCTATGCTTATCCTGTGAATCTGTATCACCGGAGACGGGTTTTGAAACCACAAGAAATGTGGACAACCTATCGGTCCATGGTGACAACGGAATACATGGCTTGGTCACGGAGGACATCTTGGGACAAAAATTTTGCCGGTTTTCTTAAACACGAGTTTCTTGTAGTTTCCGAAAGAAACCAGGTTCCCAAATGTGTCAAACCCAAACCAAACAGCTTGTGCTTGCTCTTTTAACAAACAGCTCAGCATCTGGGTGAATTCGTTCCTAGGCTTCCCGAACGCCCTCTGCCGCATTGTGGGATCAAACTTGATGACTCCTCCATATGGCCCCCTTGAAAACCTTGGCAAACGAACGCACCAGAGACGCCCATTGGTGCTGAGCAACGGTATTTCTGTGAGAAAAAGTGCCTTTGTTCAAAAAAGAGTCTCAAATCAAATTCTTGAGGGAAAAACACTCCTGACATCTGAGCTTCGCCGTCAGAACATGTCAGAACTCAGTTCCCATCAGTTCCCTGAGTCAATCTTTGTTCCCTTTGTCAAGCTTCTGAGTTTCCCATATTTTCCCATGATGTTCCCTGAGTTCCCATCTGACTTTCAGCTGAGATCTGAGTTTCTGGCACGCCAACCTTCTGTTGCTGGGCCTGTGTCATGTGTAACCGTGGGTCCCAACGCTTGATCTCTGCCCACTCGCGGCTTCCCGGGCTTCCCGCCACCTAGGACGGATTGTGCACGGTCTCAAACGGTCCCCAAATTCAACGAAAACTCTCATGAGAAGTCGAATTATGTTCATCTTGTTCAATTGTTTCTTTCTTGTTGTATCAAATTGTATAACAAATCAATATACAATTCCCACTACTTCCAAGAACAAAGTTAAACGTTGTCGTCCAAGTAAAACCATGACTTTACTTAAAGACACTCATTGACTGCTCATATATATATATATATAGTCAAAAAAGGGTGACCTTTCCCCTGAGCCTAATCGAATCCGTAAATCAATCCTCAAAATTCTGAATAAAAATATGTGGTTTCCATGCTCAAGTTTTTGATTGGTTTTCACGGGTTTTTCACTGTCTTTTCACGGGTTTTTCACTGTCGTTTCACGCACTTTTCACGCTCTGGGTTTGGAGTGGGATTTGTTTGAAACTCTGGAGTCCGGTATATATTTATACTAGTACTCATTGGGTCTGATAATGCCCAGTAAACACATGTCGCTTCCAAAGACAAAGTTAAACTTTGTCGTTGTGAAAGCCCCAGTTAAACTTTGTCGAAGACTGAGTGGGATTACATATTCAATTATTATACATATTAAACAACTATAATTCTATATTCAATTATCGTAAATTCAATTACATATTAATTGTATAACAAATCAACTATATTAAGAATATTTACAATCAATTATTCAATATAATATAACAATTACAAACAAGAGAGTGTGTCGAGATGGCGAGACCATAACATCCCAATCCAGTTGCTCCCATAACTCGTGCATAGCGTGCCATATGTGCCATACGGCTGAGCTCTCTGGCAGCTCTGCTCATGTACACATGGATGAAGGGATTGATGTTGTAGGGCTCGAGGATGTGGAACTCATGGAACCTGGGGAAATCGGGTCTGCTGAACTGCGTCATTTCAACATTTCCTCAATCATCTTGGCTTTCGGCAGTGACAAAAGGAAAGGAAATCAAGTCTGCTTTCTTGAGGTTCCACATCTTTCCGGACATACCGAATACGGTTGACTCTCTTGTCGTTTGAAAAACATCTGGCTCTTATGCACAGCTTGTTCACCTCGCTTCCTGTCAGACTACAGAAACAAATGTGAGGGTCAGAATATTTATACCCGCCCCCAACGTGGGATGAGAATGCAAATGGTTTCTTGTTGCTTGGGTTTACCTTCTGGCTGCGCACAGAAAAGGTGAGCTACAAACGTTCTGGGCACGTTCGTTGTATGCAAATAAACCCCTGGTGGTATCCCCAACAGCATATCCAGGTGGGGAAGACACACCACACCCGGACCTCCAGAACCACCCGTGCACACACTCCAGAACCCAATTTTCGTCAATTTTCGTCATGTCGTGGCTCACTAGACAAAATCGAATGAGCTACTTGAAGGCAAGAGATCTACATCTATTCAGCCTCAGAAGGATCAACAACCAACTTGACATCTCCAGGTGTTCGAATCCCATGGCCTAGCTGGCCGCGAATAAGTTCACAAACCATATCCAGACGATCCGAAGGCCACGCCTTGAGCACACATCAGCCAGCAGCCACATCCAGGAACCACACTTCTCGTAACCTCACTGCAGATAGAAGCCCGGTTTGACTTCCAGTAGGCTTTCAAGATACATTGAAAGGACCTGGAGAGCTCCACCATAGTGGGCTGGAAAGGCCAAGGGCCGATCCACTCCATCTGCCCATTGCCGCCTGTGCGCCAATGGTCTGATTCTTGGCTCATGCAGCATATAATCCAAAGCAAGGTAGAGGAATGGCACCCACTCAACTGATCGCAGACCGACGCAAAGATGAATCGCCCCAGCGCAGCCACCATGCATGCACAGCCTCCAAATTGGAAAATGGCGATACCTGTGGGTCAGCTTTGGAACCACCGTCAGCTCCAGAGGCAACTGCACCGTATTGGGAAATCGTCGCGCCACCCGTCTGGCACCCGCACTGATCAAGCCACCAGCACCAGCATCTGGCGGGTTGGAGGTACTAGCGGCCTTCTTGCCAACTCGAATGTGAACCTGCACCACTGCCTGATAAATCTGCCGTGTTTCAGCGAGCTGAAGGGCCAGTTGCTTCCACCCATCCCAGAATTGGTCAGAGCGCTGCATGTTCGCTTTCCGTGCAGCCGCATCAACCAACTCGTTCTGCCAAAAGGCCCATGTCTCCAAAGGGGGGAGATCAGCAACAATGGTTTGGTGTGCAGCAACCTTCAAAATCATAACCTTGCTGGTGACCCGCTTCAAAGCTTTGCTCACTCGAAGCCACAAATCAGCATGCGACCCGTTCGCCTGAAAGTGATACAACCCAGCTTGGACGCGGCGGACCCCATCCACAACTGCTTGGCAATCAGACCAAATTCGCATCTCACAAGCCTGAGTGGAAGCCCATTCAAGGGCGACTGCCACGTAATAGAGCTCGGCGCGAAAAGCTGTCTGATGCAACCCTGGTAAAGGTCCAGCAGCCAGAACATGATGATCCAAAGTGTTCCAATCCAATCGCCCAATCGCAACTGCCCAAGCCGCCAGTCGCAACGGAGGCTCATGTGGCAGTAAGCAAGCCCCGTCATCCGTGAACAGGTCACAAGATCCGGCCCCATCAATCACACCGCCAACAGCCTTCACCAGCCCATCAGACAAAGAAGCCAATGTCCGACCATAAGAGAGCCAAGCAGAAGGAAGAGGAGGCCAAGCATGCGCACTAAAGGAACTAGGCAAAGAAGGGACATACCTCAAAATCCAATCAGGCACAGAAGCACGACAATCAGCAAACCCAGGACACTCCCAGGCACGGTGATAGTTCCCATCCACAGCACCACACCAAGGACACCGATCAGAAACACCTTCCTGCCAATGAGCGCGGGCATTGTTGGTGAACAGCGTCCCATCCATACAACAGCGCAAGAAGACAAGCTCAGTCTGGGAAACGCTGCCCATCATACGATACACAGCATGAAGGTCAGCATTATGAACCCCTTCAAAAGATTTGCGATTACCCACCTCAGCGGCAAGAACCGCCACGCAAGAACAAGACGCAGAAGCAGCTCATCGAAATTACAAGTCAGCGGGTCGAAGCAACCAAGATCATCGTGGACAAACCCCACAGGCGAGATAGTCCAGCCAAGCCGCAACAGCCGAGCACGGAGAACAGATGACGGCCCATTGCGCACCTCACCATAAGGCCGACGCACCCCCAAGTGCTGGGAAATCCAAACCCCAAACTTCCGACAGTCAAATAAACCGTGACCGGGCGAAAGGCATCAACATCAAGGTTGCCTTGCTTCTTTTCAAGCGAGCTGACAAACCCAGTACACAATTGCAGGGCCAAATGCCGGAGCCTTCAATCTGATCAAACATCAAAGCAAGACTCTCCAACGCACCGCCGGGCAGACTCAAGAGATCCTTGCGGGAGACCCCGTCCGGGCCCACAGCCGTCTTAGGCTTCTTGTGTTTAGCCGCGGCAAGAACCATGTCAGCAGTCCATGGCTGAAAGTTCCACTGGATAGGAGCCAGGGTACGTTTCGCAAAAGCAACTATCTGCGTCCATTGCGAAGGCAACACATGGTCAGGTTTGATCCAGCGAGCTGACCACACTCGCTCAAACTCACGCAGGATCTCGCAAGTGTTAGCAACAACCCGAGTGGAACGAAAGGGCAAACCAGGCCGAACCCCTTCCAACGAGGAGAGCCAAACCTTGTCATCTTCAGCCTGAATAACCACCTGGATCCTCCTTCGAATTGGAGGGGAGGTGTCGCACCCGGCTTGTTGTAGTACAATTCCATGGGATTTTGAAAAACCCTACAAAAAGAGTCGGTTTTTGGGAGTTTTGGCCCTTACAAAAAACATAGGGTTTTAGCACCCTCATTCGACTTCAAACACCCATACCATTTTATAAGGTGACGACTTTCTTCATGATATGGAAGTTGTATTTTTGTCGATGACCTTTTTATAAGAAGTTGTGATTTTAGATGGCGTTTTCGGGCATCATTTTGTAAGGACACAACTTCTGGTTCCCTGTTTCTGGTTTTCCCGGACTCGTTGATTTTCAAGCAGCCTTTTTGTAAGGATTCTATTTTTTGCCACCTTTTGGTTTGTTTTATATTTTTTGTATTTTTGCTTTGGCCTACCAGAACTCCTTTCATGATGTCTCGCGTTTGTATTATCACATGAGTACCATTGGGATGTGGGCTGGGGCCTTTTCGGAAATAGCCAAAACAGCTATCAAATGATTGAGGCGAATCAAAAACATGTACAAATCTGAACAATACTTTGTATCAATGCCTAAAAAGCATATATTCTTACAAAAAGGTTCTTCTACTCTTGACGACATCTCCTTACAAAATGTCATTGCACACCCTGCTGAGTTCTTTTTTGTTTTTTTTGATGTTCAATAACAGCATCTTGAGCTTACAAACAGCCTCAAAAAAACAAACTCGATGGTCTTATAAAATGACTTGGCACCTCAAAACTCTTACAAAATGAGCACTTGAAAATCCACAACTTTGCCTTTTGGGTGCCCTGTTACAAAAAGGCCTGGTTAGGGGTCTTTTTGTAACTACAAAATGCCCCTTTGCAACCATTTGTAAGAGGGTCGACACCTTCCATTCTGTAAGGGAAATTCGATCGGGGATCACCTGGAATGACCCGGAACCTCCAAACCCATCTGGAACCCGGGGACGAACACCAGCACCTCCAGAATCACTGGAACCTCCCGGAACCAGCCGGAACCCACACCGGAAGCACCTTTAGCTGGGCTGAGACCCCTAAGCCCTAAGGGAAAACTAGACGACGGTTGGCCCGAGAGCGAAAAAGATGTGTTTCAAGCAGCTCTGAGTATGGTAGTCGTAAAAGATAGTCGGTGAATAGTTGGTGAATTTTATTGGTGAATTTTAAATGAGCAATGGAAAGACATGATGTAAAAAAGTAGAATTGATCAAGAAGAGAATATTGGGTAAAGGGCATCAGATGACATGTGTCGTGGAACCACAGAGAGAAAGAGGGGGAAGAGATAAAGAGAGAGAGAGAGAGGTCAGACGCATTTCCACACAAAGACCTTTGAGATACAAAAGAAGCTCGGCACCATGATGCCGTGGATGACCTTAGTTGCAAACAAAGGTTGGCAAACATAGTCGCAATGGAAATGCTACAAAATGCAAAAGTACACAAACAAAGGCTCCGTAAGAAACTAGAACTCCGTGCAAGAATGCTGTGAATGATAGCAAGTTCGATATCATGATGGCAAGGATAACACCTGTTTCACTGCATTTCTCCGATGTCCCTACAGGATGGAAAAAAAAACTTTACAGACAAACAACAGTTGGCTACTGGTTTTGCATGTTCGTCACGAACAGTCTCTCCAGACGAACATGCTGGTTTTGCATGTTCGTCACGAACAGTCTCTCCAGACGAACAGTGCTACAGATTAATTTGCGCCAGTTGCACTCAGTGCCACCCGGTATGCAAGCCTTCCAGCTCCCACAAGCTGCTTCCAAGCAAAGGTCGGTACCATGATGCTGCAGATGTAGCATCTGGTCCATGCGTTTACATCTGAGGCAAAAAAATGTATAACACACAATCCAATGCGAAGCATCTGCCCTTTCAATTCGAAACTGAAAACACGACTCCGGAGTTTGACATAGCAAATAAGCCCGGTACCATGATGCCGTGTATGACCTCACTTCCAAACAAAGGTGCGCAAACACAGCTTTGGGTTGGAAATGTTTAAAAATTGGTATCCAAAAAACAACAAGTGAACGCAGTGAATGATTCCGGGCCCAAAACAAGTTCGATATCATGATGGCCTGGACGACACCCTGTTT